TCTCTCTCTCTCTCTCTCTCTCTCTCTCTCTCTCTCTCTCTCTCTCTCTCTCTCTCTCCACACACACACACACTCCCAATGAGAGACAAGACCTCCCCCGCCCATCCCTCCTCCACTGTTGCATACTCGTGAACACAGTCATAAGTATGGCGCAGATCCCCAGAACCGACCAGATAATACAGAGTAAGTACAATTACAGCGGAAGACTTGATACACATGGACTGACTCAAACCTGACTCAGACTGCAACGAATCCTTCACAAACATGCATCGGTGGTGTGAAAGCCCTGGCCTTGGATATGGAAGAAAGGCCAGGGTCTAATCTCATACATGGATGAATGGAGGGGACAAGAGACGAAGGGAGGAGGAGAGGGAAGATAACGTCAACTCAATGTCTCCAAAAATAGTATCCCGAAATGTCATAAGTAACGAAAATCCGAAATGTCGTGAATACAGAGTCTCATAGTGTCCCAGACCTCGATCTCCTAATGCCAAGATACATCTCCAGAGGTAGCTGAAGTCAGATCCCAAAGGTAGTCCTCAACCGAAAGTCTCAATGTTGTTATCTCCGCTATCATCAGGACTCGTAACCATTCTTCATACTCATCGTAGTCTAGTAGGAGTAACACAAGAAGTAGACTTAGACTGAGGGCAGGAGGAGAAGGAGAGCGGAGGAGGAGAGAGGGAAGAGGGAAGAAAGGCGAAGCCTTTCTCCCTGATACCTGAGTACCGCGCTGTCCCTGCTGATGTCCGCGGAGGCCGAGCCTGGCGATGCAGCTATGGCGCTGCAGTGCTGGGCGCTGGGCTGCGGCTGAGCCGGAGGGCTGGCGCTAATCGCTGCTGCACTAATCGCTGCTGCACTAATCGCTGCTGCGCTAATCCTCCTCGCTGCTGCGCTAATCCTCCTCGGTGCTGCGCTAATTCTCCTCGCTGCTCCGCTGAGCTTAACGCGAAACGCTGTACTAACCTAACCTACTGAGGCTGGTACCCAACTGATATAGCGCTGGGGCCGGCCTCAATGCTGCTGGTGCCTTCGGGTCTGGACCGTTGATCGGCCCCAACGGTTCAGACCCGAAACCGAAATCTGAAAGTGGCGCCCGAACCTGGCTGCCTTCAAAACTGCGCCGCCAGTAGGTCCTAGCGTTGGACCAGCACCGGCCTTGCCCTTGTGACCGTTGGCCTACTCGGCCTCTGGGCCGACCTATGCGTCTGAACCGACGTGACCCCTGACCCTAGGCCTAAACTAGCCTAACTACGGAACCGGGCCCTAAGTGGGGCCCGTGTGGTGTCCGAATGCCACACCCACCCCCCACCCTCATCGTTTTTCTTCTCCTTGACTGCAGAGTATACACGAGGGAAACAAGTAGGAATGTGCATATCCATGCAATGGTCTTCACCAGAATAGAATGCCCGGCCATCATAGCTGTATTTGGGCAGCTTTCAGCCTAAATGCATCGATAATGACCGGGAGTTATATTCCGGTGCAGAAGCTACCCCAGTGCAAATGAACGACCACAACTGCTTAGTCTTAGACAAGTCTGATGACCAACACAGACCCCAGCAGCTGCCCAACAGCAGAAGCCCAACAAATTAACTGTGAAGATCAGCAGAGCGGCATGCTAAAAGCGGTGGAGGAGAAAACAAGAAGCCAGTGAGGAAGAAGAGGAATGGACAGTGGGCAAGAAGAAGGGAAGCCATGCAGGAAGATGGAAAAGAGAAGGAAATTAGTTTTCGCTGTTGCCAAATGAGTGAGCAGGCACAACCATGTACACTTTGGGGCCGGCGCAGGTAGTAATGGGAGAGGAAGAAGTGAGGAGAGGGAGAATTGGGAGAGGGAGAAGGGGGAGAGGAAGGAGCAAGGAGAGGGAGAAGGGGGAGAGGAAGACACCGGAGAGGAAGAAGCGAGGAGAGGGAGAAGGGGGAGAGGGAGAAGGAGGAGGGGGAGAAAGGGGAGAAGGAGAAGGGGGAGAGTGAGAAAGAGGAGGGGTAGGAGATGGATGGGAGCGCTAACAACAGATACCTTCTGCAAGAGCAGACTCCTGAGATGCACAACAAGGTCTTGACGACCAGTGGAATCAAGTACATCTTTGAACATTTTTTCAACAACGCCTCTGGCATCCCTCCGGCGCTCCATTCTCCATCTCCCATTGTGATTCTGATCGTTGCCCAGATGTGATCCCACTTCCTCCGCGTCGTCTTGATTAGATCCAAGATGACTCTGCAACGAATGGCTGACCTCACTCATCACGGACAGAGGTACATCACCTATGTCCAGGCACTCCATGTGTGAGGTCAAAGTCAAAGTCAAAGTTTGACCATCATTCATCTGAGGAATAACAGATTTGTCACCACGGATCTTCTGCAATTCCTCGACGTCATCACAATGGCCAGGGACCTTATCATCATCATCAGCATCATCATCATCATCATCATCACCATCATCATCATCATCATCATCATCATCATCAGGGCATACATCGACGTCATCATCAATGAAAAGATCCTCCAGACACGTGTGATGATAGGCAATCCTGCTGCCATAAGGATGTCCATGTACGACAGATTCAATGCACCTTTCCATTTCTATTGCCTTATCAAGAGGAGTGCCGCCTGCCGCACTTTCGTCCACAAATGCGACTCCGAACTGAAACCTGATCCTTCCTCGTTCCTCCAGCAGCTCCCTCTCCGTCTTTGCCGTTGACTGAATCTGGTGGACAAAATCCAGGGCAACCCTGTAAACACAAATAAATTTGGGATAAACAAAATAAACAAAAAAAGAAAAAAGAAAGAAGAAAAAAACAAGAAACGTAGTAAAAATATCCCTGGTTGGTTGTCTATATGACGCCCCTCCTTGACCCGACGTGGATGGTATGCTGAACGAACGGCATATTCACACTAGCACTTTTCCGAATGAACCTGGTCGTGATTGTTGTCAAACTCAGCGACCGGAAAGCCCTCCTACGAGTATGGTTTAATATGCGAGGAAGGGTCAGGGGGCAGCAGCGTCGGCGCCAGGGCTGAGTGGGGCTGCAAGCTGCAATTTCCATTCATGAATGAATCAAATATGTCCAAGCACTGTGACAATATTGAATGCTGTAAATACTAAAGAAATAATTAAATTATAATTAATTAATTAATTAAAATAAATACTGTAAATAAATTGAATTCAAGTTTCAGAACCATATATAGACAGAGAGGAATGAATGCCTCCTATGTGTTCTTTTCGAAAGAAGATATAGCCCGTAGCCATATGCCGTTGGGCAATACCGATGGGGGATGATGCTCTCATCACCCTCCAATAGTGCCCCAGGGCAGTGTTAAAAAAAAAAAAAAAAAAAAAAGGGCAGTGTTAAAGATAATTAAAAAAAAGGGTCCTCCTGGGCGTGGTCACACTACCTAGCAAAGAGGATTGGATTTAATGCCTGAATCTGGCTGGGTTTTAAGCAGAGACGCAGGAAAGCCGAATCAATCGTGATTTTCTGCACCTCTCCACAAACAACGTCCCCATCCAGGCGTTCAATACAATCCTCTTTGCTAGTGGCACCTCGCCCCTGGAGTGGAGTTCCTCGACCTATTCATCACAGATATTGCTCGAGATTAATTAATATCTACCATTGAATCGCATTGCCGCGTTTTTTTTTTTTTTTTTTTTTTTCCCCTAAAGTCCAGATCGTGTACAGGCTGGATGCCATTTTAAATTCTCACGTTTCCAAGAAAATGACAAGAAAATGACATTTCGTCAATTTCGATGATTTCCTTCATTTCCGTGGTACGAATGCAAACAAATTTTTCACTGCGTTTGTCCTCCTAACCTATGTGACGTATATAAATTTTCGACTTTACAAGAATCTTATATTTCTCTATTTTATTTTTATAATATTTATATACATTATAATATAAAGTTATAAATTGCATTATTGAAAGTAGAGAATGAAAAACAAACGTAGAACAAGCTGCCTCAACTTTAGGAAGGACTGTGAAAGAGCAATAGGCAGTTCCCTTCGTTTTTCTTTGAAAAGAAAGGACAAAAAAAAAAATCAGATTCTGAGCAGCCTCCCCGAAGGACTTAAACACTTCTTCAAGGTTTTATTTCACACATTTAAATTTTTATTTTTATTTTTTTCACACGTTTTTTTTTTTTTTTCCCCCCCACAGATTTCGAGAGCCTACGCCATGGATTTCCGGACATTTAATAATCAATTTCGTGCATGGGTCTTTCGTAGACACCCGACCCTGTCTGGTGTCAACAAAGAATGAAGCCCTTTTCTTCAAATGCTTCCCTGAGAATCAAACTTGGCTTGGTTTTCAACTTTTCACGATAAAAAGAGGGGGGGGGGGGGGGGGGGGGGGGGGGGAGAGAAGAGGGGGAAAGAGCACAATTGGGTTTTGTATGACTCTTCGGCTAAAGTACAGTGATTTCCAGTCGCCCATCCTTGTTCCTTGGTCGATCTCTAGTCTAAAATACCCCTTTTTTTTTCTGCAGCCAAAGGGTGTCCGAATCGGCCTATTTATCAGTCGCTTTCACTCTTAACCCCTCCCCCCTTTTCGTCGATCTCTAGTCTAAATACCCCATTCTGCGGCCAAAGGGTGTCCGAATAGGCCTATTTATCTTCGCTTTCAGTCTTAAACCCTCCCTAGTCGTCGATCTCGATTCTCTAGTCTAAAATAGCCCTTTCTGCAGCCAAAGGGTGTCCGAATGGGCCTATTTATCTGTCGCTTTCACTCTTAACCCCCCCCTTTTCGCAACCAACGAGGCCCATTATGATAAGTGAGTAGGGTCCATTTATGAGTTCCAATCTAAAACCGAAAGCCGTTTTTTGCACATCCAAAAGGAGACCCTTCTGAGATTTCATTTGGCGGAATTCATATGTCGGGATCGCAACTCGTGATTGGATAAGATAGGCTGTCTTGGCACTTCTCAACCCCTGTTGGGATCTCAACTTATCCGTAAAACAGCTGGATTCATGTTGGCCCTGGAGACGACCTGTCTCCAGGTACACAGGTCGCGATCCCGATACACGCGTAGCTGTTACACAATTAACGAAAGGACTGCGATTTGGCGACAGAAAAAAAAAAGGAAAAGCTCTGAGCAGCGGCTACCCGTCTATCCCCGAATAGAACGTACGGTCATTTATGGTCGTATTTGGCTCACATTTCAGTCCAGATGCGAGCGAAAATGACCGTCCATTCTATTCGGGGGACAAAGATAGGTACTGATCTGTGCTTCGAGTGTTATGGCATATTCACACTGCGAGCTTTTTCGACCGAATGTGGCTCTATTTGACGTCAGATGCATCCAAGAAAGCCCTACCATCTTCACCCGAAGAGACCTCCCGGTCATTACGGCCGTATGTGGACCATCTTCCAGTCTACATGCAGCGATACTGTTCGGGTGACTACGGTATTGCAACAAAGCCCTTCACTTTTTGGCAAAACTATACCCTGTTGCGCTTCGGGACATCCGTTAAAATTGGAACGATACAGAGAAAGAGAAGATTAGCATGGCCCCTGCGCAATCAAGGATGACACGCATAAATCGAGAAATGGTCCAAATCTATAAAAAAAAAAAAAAAAAAAAAACTATACCCTGTCGCCTTTGGACATCCTCTGAAATTGGAACGTTAAACAAATTTAAAAAAATGGAACGGCACAGAGAACAACATCAATTAGCATGGCCCCTGCGCATGGGCCCTGCGTGAAGTATACCCCTGCGCAGGGGTGAAGTCCCACCGCCGAAGTTGAGTTTTCTCAACGCTGAGCTTTCTATCACGTGTGGCATGGTGGGACGGAGCTTTCTATCACGTGTGCCATGGTGGTGACCACAATCAGGTGAAATGTTTTCCACGAAAAAAGCGCGGGGTCATAATTTCTGTATTCGGCACACTTTTTAGGTCAGATACAGATACCAGCAAGCCTAGCTCAGTTGGGTTAACCCCATGAACTGGTGAAATGCAGACCCAAGTTCGAATCCAGTTGCAATCAGCGGAACAACAGACCTACTGTTGTTCAGAATTGCCGGGGCCCACTCAGCTCAATGATGACATCACAAAAAAAAAAAAAAAAGCAAAAAAAAAAAAAAAAAAGAAAAGGTCAGATCCTGATGATATGATGACGACTCCACTCTCTGCTTGCAAGGAAAACGGGGTACCCGCTATATCTATCGTGCGCAGAACGGTGCCGCGCGTAAGCTCCGCACGGGTCGGGTCGGGTCGGGTCGGGTCGGTATCTGAGTGGGATGCGTTTTCCGTGCGGTTCGATATGATTTTGGCGGGGTCTAATAGAAGAGGGATACTGATACTTTGGATGAGATATGCATAAGATATGGATAAGGTTAAGGTTATGGATAAGGTTATCTGCAATACCTTGTCCAGAACCTTATAACCTGGACTGAAATGTGAGCCAAATACGGCCGAGATGCGAGCCAAATACCTTATCCATAACCTTCCAGGGTGTGCAATACTTTATCCATAAACCTGATCAGGTTATGGATAAGGTTATAAGGTTATGGATAAGGTATTGCACACCCTGGAAGATTAAGGACAAGGTGAGGTAAAAAACCCTGCTGATGCAAAAAAAGAAACACAGAGAGAGAGAGAGAGAGAGAGAGAGAGAGAGAGAGTGATCGCCAGCGGACTAGCTCAGTTGGTAAGGCTCGCAAGTGGCATTCAGGAGGTCTTGGGTTCAATCCCCATTGACCTTCTCATGGACCCCTTTCTAGGCATGCTAGGCGCCCGCCACCTAGAGATAGACCACTGGATCCCCCGATCGGCATTGAGCAGAGTCTGCTGATGTTCGTAGGGGGGGGGACCACCACCTGAGGGGAGGCACAGAGATTGGTCCATTTGCAATGGTCCCTACTGACGCTACCGGCTATCCCCTACCTAGCCGGTATCGCCCACCTGCAGGTCGGGTACAGCTCCCGCATGTTCTCTCCGGGGTTCCCTGTTATACTATGATTACTACCAATAGCAGTAGTAGGTAGGTAGTGTCAGGTGGAATTGAGAGAAGAATCTAGCTTACAAAAAAAAAAAAAAAAAAAAAAAAAGAAAAAAAAAAAAAAAAAAAAAAAAAAAAAAAAAAAAAGCCTGCTGACGTCATTACACCAAACGCTGTGTGCCAATGTCCATCTGCATTCAGAAGGGTTCAGAGGCTTTGCCAAAATTTTGAATTTTTTCTTCCAAAAAAATAAACAAATAATAATAAATTTTTTTATTACGCTTTCACTTTACTAAAACCTTTGGACAGTTCCGGCAGTAGGTGGTCCTGCATTCAAATCTCGACATCAGAATATTCCTATTTCGGTCATGAATCATTTCGAGAAAGCTCGAGGTATATAACCGATTACGATTTCTTTTTTTTTTTTTCTTTTTTTTTTTTCGATTACGTTTCCATCATGCACTATTTTTTTAAACCAAAGCGGCAAATGTTACGACCAATTTCTATCAAAAAAAAAAAAAAAAC